TAAATTACATCCCCCCTCTGTCTAGTGATAAGATGGCAGGAAGGGGGGAGGAGGGGGCAGGGCCAGGCTCACACACACACAACAGGATCTCTTGGCGTCATTATCAAACGCAGTGGGGGGACCTTTAGCATACATTTTCAACTAACAGGAAGTCCCATTGACTTGCATCCCTGGTTGGTGACGAGTTGGGATCGCGGAGAAATGCTCTCCGCAGACCCATTCTCACAGCGTTTATAAAACATTTTCTTACTCAATATCAAGCCACACTTATTGTTTTTACTTCGGCTGTGAGTGTTTGTGTGTGGCAGTGTGCTCAGGATGAGTTTCGCGCTGTCTCGCCGACCCGGAAACCACACCAGTAAGCCAGCTCACTGAGCAGCGAGCCTCGCAACGTCCCGACCAATCAGAGCACACTGGGCTCACAGGGAGGGGGGCCAGGAGCTCCAACAAGCCGTTTAGGTCAGAGTGAACACCGGTGAATACACATACTTTACAGAGATGCTGTATGAGAAACCAACGTGAGTTTGGAAAATTCCACAGTATAGATCTATTTAAGTATACCTCAACAATGGAATTATCAGTAGAAATGGCCATGACATGGGATCTTTAACACTTAATATATTTGATCCTTGAAACTGGTAGCATTTAGGGACAGGGTTCGAGCTGAGTAAATAGGGGAGGTTTGTCCTTGCTTTTCATCAATTGCTAAAAAATTAACCTTTCATTTCAGTGATTGGTTTATTGATTTGATGCCATTTTGTATCGAGTCTTCATATTTGCACCTATTCATATCAATACATGTTGCAGGGTGTAATAAATCCATTTGTAGAGTTTATATCATTATGATACTTGTCATGACTTGCCACTTTATGAACTCAATGCAAAGTAGGAATGACTTGGTTCAGGTCACCTGTACCTGTGTTTTGAACAACAGCAGTAAATAATGCAGGCATTTGCAGTGCCAGTCTGTAGTAGGGATTAATGTCTTTGACCATGTATAATTGAAAATGTTTTTAACACAGATATCACTTACTCCGGTGGATGGTTCAACATACAACAATGCCACCTGCTGCTTACTAGGCTCCATTGCATCAGTAACAATTAATAAAGTAAAGACATGATGCAATGAAAAGACATTGAAATAGTTTGGTGTTTTTTACAAATGTTTATTCATATTTGCAAAAGGTTTAGTCGAACAGGCCGAATCCCATGTCGTCATCGGACGCCTCAGACTCGTCTTTCTTCTCTTCCTTCTCCTCAGCTGCAAAACACAAAACGTATTATTTCCTATTTAAATCACCCATGTATATTTAACACACAGCTAAGCTCATTAGATCGCCATGTTAGTTCTTGCAATCAGACCTTTATGTCAAATACCGGGTTTACTAGACATTGTTGAATTAACGTAAAGTCCGTTTTTTTTATTTAAATAAATGTGCAAATTACAACACATTACTCTAAAATAAGCCTGCTAAAATCCCCATCATTTGTCACAAACTAAGAATATCTATAACAAATATATATCAAGATATGTGAAATCGAATTCTGGGAAAATCATGATTACTGACTCCTTCGGCAGCATGTTATCAGATGAACACACAAGGTGAGTGTCACTGCTGTTGACAAACAAGGTGCTAAACTGCAACACTCACCTGCAGGGGCAGCAGCTCCAGCTGAGCTAGTAGCCACAGCAGAGCTGGCAACGGCTACAGCACCGCCTGATGGCACGCTGGCCAGTTTACCGTAACCTGAGGAGACACGAGTTGGCAGACATGAAGCATGAGATAACATTGACACCCAGCAGCAAGAAACAAGATAGTGAGACATAGCATGTTGTCATTAGAAGTAATCTGGCAAATGTATTATTCGTTATACTGACAGCATTAATAGTCTTGCCCCACAACAAAATTGGAACATTATGAATCTGTGATAGTTTAAGCTACAGAATATCATCATCACACCCTACAAAATGTATAGTAAGCTCATTAAGCTTTCTGATTAGGGTTTAAAATCACAATTATTTAATACAAGGCACAAACAAAGACAAACACTGACCTGTGGCGATCACCTCCTCCACATTCTTGCCTTTGAGCTCAGACACGACCTGTTGGAAAACACATGTGTGAATATCACCAGGGTTATTTCTTGCCACAGGTATACCTGCTGCCATACCATCAGACACAAAATTCAGACCATTTGTTTTACCTTGTCCAGGCGTGTGTTGTCGGCCTCAATGCCAACACTCTCAAGGATCTTCTTGAGGTCAGCAGCACCGGGGTTGGCATTGCCACCGAGGGAGGAGAGCAGGTATGCAGCTACGTAACGCATTCTGCAAAAAAAGAGAAGATATTTTCAGACGTCATTCAAAAAGATGTGTAAGAATATGGCCACTGTTCTACATAAAAATTATACACATCTTTTCTAAATAATTAAAAACACAAAACATAACAATGCAAGTTTTACTGCATATTTACTGTACCTAAATGAATAGATACTTGGAAAAGCAAGACACATAGCAATGGTCTGTACAATACACATCATTTTTAGGTAGATTAGATTTATTCAGCCTTGATTGTCATCAGCTGCAGACGTTTGTCGATTTTTCATCTTTTACTTAGAGATTGATTACACTAACTAAATCTTGTCACAGCGTCTTGCAGGCATCCCATGTTTCGCATCTTAACCAACGACTTATTTAAATATTTAATTATGGCAAATAAGCTAAGACTATACTTTATTTCTTAATAACTAAAAGGTGATATTTAATATTTTTCTGTCAAAAATATAGAAGCATACAGAGTTGTAATTTGCATATTTGTGAAACTTAATTGCAATTTTAACAGAAGGCAATACTGTCAAACAGCATGCCTGTGTTACCATTCATATGTATACTGGAAAGCTATTGCTCATTAAATTCCTAAGATTATAATAGTATAACTTTTTTAAGATTAGAGTTTACATTTGTATATATATATATCATATTGCTGATTATCTGGCGATATAAGCAGAAGACCGGACACTGCATCTGAAACACATCTAGGTCTTTGAGTTTACGGCAACAGATCCGTTTAACAATGCATTTTGTATGTCTTTGTAGTGGAAATGAGCTTAATTTAGTAGGATTAGCATTTAAAATGTGAGAAAACAAAAGCTTGTTTTAACACCCATGTGGTGGCGTGTTCTTCAGACCCGTTGTCAAAAGCTAATTTAGCCGCCACGGACGATGCGTTGATGAAAATGTTGTATTATTGCTAAAATATAGCTCGTTTAGGTTTTTGAACAATCAGGACTGTACGTTTATACATTTATAGAGATATCATGCGTGTTTTTTCCGGTGAATCATACTTTTTTAAAGTATAAAAAAGACACTCACTTGAGCTAGACGGCGAACGCGTGTTCACTTCGAGGTTAGCACGGGCAGAAAGGAAGTTACGTCACTTGATGAAGACGGAAGTAACCTCGCTTCTTCTTCACGTTCAATAAAAGACAGAACAGGTTTGTCGCCACCTGTTGTTCCGGGGAGTCGAATCAGCTTTCCAACAAATGGGAAGAAATGCTGTACTTTATAGTGTATAATTATCCTGCCAACACGTTTGTATCAACATTAGTGGTTTTGTAAAATGAAGTGAAAAACATTGATTTTATGAATGCATCAGAAAGTGAGGCCTTTTTGACACTGTTTGTTTTGACAATCCTCCACTTAGTCTGGGGGCCAAGGATTAGGCCTTATATTTCACAATGAAAACAGACAACAGAAAGCTCAGCAGAATGTTAATTATTTTATTTCAGATAATATATTTTATAACTTATATGTCTATTCCAAACATTTTTTTCCCTATGGTATTAATGGGGCTTTTGTACGGAAGAGGATTAGGGCCACATGAGAAAACATGTTTGGGATGTGACCAAAAGTTAGATGTGAAAATGTGAGTTCTGACTTTGATCTCAGAATTCTGACTTCTTTAATTTACTTTTGGTCACATCCCAAAAAATATTTCTAATGTGGCCCTAATCCGCTTCCGCCTTCCGTACTTTTGTGATGGTGAAAGGCAGATTTGTTTTCATTCACCTTTCAGCACTGCTAGCTTTTTCCTCAAAAAGTGTGTAGGTTTATGTGTGCTTTACTTTACAGTATACCACCATCAATTTCATTTTGCTTGTCTGCTCCTACTGATGATTTGGCTCGTGGTCCAGTTTGGCCCACTGCCTCGTCCTCAGCCCCTGCTGCTGCTGGGCTCACTCTTGGGCGTGATGGACTTTTGTTGGCAGGAAAGACAAAGTGAACTGTCCTCACGTGACTCTGCAGAGGTTTGGGTCCATGCCATGTGAAACCAGCAACTGTGCTCTGGTCTCAAGCTGTAGTGTAAACAACCAGCTCGAATAAATTGCTGTGTCACGTGCGCAGTTTGGTTGCAGGCAAACAGCCAATTATCTACCCCTGAACTCCTCTCAGAAATCTTCAGTGTATGTCTGCATTTGGGTAAAACCAAGGTGACATTGCCAGGAGCAGCAGATTACAGGTTCAAATAATCCATTAAAAAAAGATTGGAAAATTCACAAAACTAGCATTTATTACAGGGCTGTATTTCTTTTTGTGAAGCAAGTAATGAAAAGTGAAACTCAACATTCAACATTACATTAATTGGCAGTTCATTACAATAATTGCGGTCAAAGGTTTAAGGAAAAAATGCCACCGCAATAAACTAATCAGACTACTTTGATGCTGGAAAGGCTACTTAAATTCAGGTCAGCAGGATATGAATAAGAAACATATATTGAATACAACAGTATCGTGCTCTCATGGTCAAGTAGAAAATATGTATTCTTTTGATTGTAAAATATCTGGGACTTCAGGTAAAATTAATCCTCTTTTATTTTCAACTCAGAACAGAACAAGTAAGAAAGCTCTCAGTCCATCCCTGTGTATGGGAAAATATCCACTTTGAAGCCCAGCTGTCACATCCATTATGTTGGAGCTGCCATGATTCACTCACCAAGTTTCTCTTTCCTTCTGCCTTTCAAGACTCCTGAAAGACGAGCATTAAAGAAGGAAAACATTTGTGAGTCGGCTGCGGAGCGCATCAACAAGAGTGTGTAAGTTGTGTCAGAAAAATAACACAATGGTTCAACAGAAACTGTGAGAATTCAAGGTCACTCTGGGTTAATTCCTCCAACAAAAATGTTACATTTCCCTCCACTTCAAAAGGAGCTTGTACTGTGTGTCGTTTGCAGGCTATTGGTGCGAGAAAAAAAACATCTACCACAAACAGCAATATAAGTCAGGTATTACAATCATTATGAAAACTCTAGTAGCCTTTATTCAGGGTTTAACATGTTTAAAAAAACATGAAGTAGATAAGAGTCTTGCCCTTAACTCATTGTTTTCATTGTGAGGGGATGTGATCATTGTAGGACATGTTTTTTTATATTTTAGGGGCGATTGTTTTATTTGCTGTCAAAGAATGTGGTGTGTTAACAAAAAGGAGCAAAACAATTATTATTATTGCATATTGCAATCTTTGACCCTCAAGCCCCTTTTCTGACACTGGATGGGATCACATGTCCTCTTTCACTGCCTTTGGTGGTTGTTTTTAGGGATGTAACGATACCAAAAACTCACGGTACGATAATATCGCGATAAAAAGTCCACGGTACGATATTTATCGCGATATTGAAAAATAAAGAAAAAAAGTGATTTTGTTTTTCTATTTTTTATTAAATAATAAATCTAATTTGTACAGAATTTTAGTAGGATAGTAGTATTTTAAAGTGTCAACAATATAATAATCAGACCCTGCAATAGAATAAATCAAGTTTCACTTTAGTTTTTCAAGTAACTCAACTCTAACTCACTAACTCACTCACTCAGCATCATCAAGGTTATCTTTTAGGAATATGAGCATGTCCACATTTCCAGGTAGAAGCTGGGATGTTTGGGCGTTTACAATATCCCCTAGTGTGGAAAAAACTCTCTTGCTTGGTACTGATGTTGCTGACAGAGATATGCTTTGGCCATGGGTGACAGCAGTGGGTCAAACTGTGCATTGCCTCTCCACCACTTCAAAAACAATACAGTTTTTGCCAAGAAGGTGAGGCTTATTGACAGGGCGAGATATAAATATACTGTTGGTACTTGTCAATGTCTCTAGGTATGTACATGTAGCCCTGTAAATATGATGTCCTTTTGTGTTATCTGTTGTTTTATGTTCATGTTGTAACCTACTTGTTGCCATGTTGGACAAGTCTCCCTTGAAAAGAGATCGATGATCTCAATGTGACCTGGTTAAATAAAGGTTTAAAAAGAAAATTATAAATAAAAAAAGAAATATTCGTATATATCGTTACTATCCCTACGTTGTTTGTTGA